ATAATCTTTATCCAATAAGATATGAGATATTTATAATCCAATAAAATATTATGACGAAAGGTCATTATACAACAGTAGAGATCAGGATGACGTGTATTTAATAATTCTAGTACTGGAAGTTGTTGATTTATGCACTTGATGAAATAAGTTCTAATATTTGAGTGGAAGGAAGTGGTGAATGCGTTGTTTGCACCTTTGTCTGGATTCCAAACTTGAAGAGTGACTTTCCAGTTGATATCTTGAACATCGATATTGTCTAATAAGTATTGTGAGATGTCTGACAATTGCCATGAGTATTAATTACGTTTCAGATAAATAAATTTAATGAAGTATCTCAAATTGATGTCGATAGAAGTTCTTTGTTGGAAAATTGGAGCATGATTAAAACTAGAAATGTTGCGAGTTTTGATGTGAATTGGATCAAGTAATCTGCCTTGATTTGCAAGAAAATCAGCTTTGTCATGGTTTTGTATATTGGAGTGACCTTTGATTTTGATTAGCTTGATTTTGAGATTTTTGACTTTGATGTTTTGGTGAATAATATTCCATAATTGCCAATAAGATATTTGCAGCAGACGCCTTGTAGAAAGATTTGATCTGTTTGTAATATTATTGATGAAACTTTTGATTGCACTAGTGCTATCGCAAAAGATTGTAATGTCTAAGAAGGTAGGTAAAATTTCTATAATAGAACAAATAGTAAATACTTCAGTTTTGGTAGTTGAAATTGTATCGTTTAGCGAAAAGTTGAAGCAATCATTATTTGAAGATGTGATCCAAGCTGAGCCTACAGTAACTAGTGGAGTTCCAGCGTGTTAAATTGAACTATCAGAGTAGAATTGTATGAGTTGATATGAGATTAATTTGAATGCTAATTGTTGCCATTTGATAATTTGCTTGTTTGATGAATTAAAGTGTGGTGACATGTTAAGTAGTGGTGTATGATATTCTTTGTTGGAGGTGATCCAAAGATTACTTGGTATAAATGGATAATTGTTGATTATTTGATTCTCAATAATCTTGAACCAGAAGGGTTTTTTGACATGAGCTTTGGATCAGTGTCTCTTTTTATATTATCTCCAGGAAATGATTTGTTTGTTGTTATATTTGGTGATTTGTGAAAGAAATAGAACATTATCTGCATAAAGCACTTTTCTGCATTTTTTGTATATGGGCCATGTGCCAATTAGAGATTCAATAAACCATTTATGACCAAAGATTTTGCTATTGCTGTTGATTTTGAAGTCTGAGAAGAAGGAAATTTTGAGTTCATGCATTATAGGCAAAATGCTACCAATAAGATTGTGTCCTAATAGAGTGAGTTCAGCAGTGAGATTTGCAAGAATTGAAATGAAGGACCATCTATATGTTGTAATTGGGAAAGACAACATAATGTGGTAAAGATGCTGATATCATTGTTGTTGAGACTAGGGTTCCGAAAAAAAGTCTGGTTCGGTTCGAGTCTGGTTCGGTTCGAGCTTGAACCAGACTCGAACCTGACGA